TGAGGCAAATACAAGTCGCGTGTTCGATAATTTCAATCTTTATAATTCTTTTATAATTTTATCCTCAATCCTTTAACGATTTCATGTTTAATCGTAGATAGAACATGGGCAATTATTAATAACTGCATTATTATCATTAATGGATTATTACATATAATATTTATATTATAATTTAAACGTTTTCCAAACGTCATTGTCATTGAATCTACGTTATTCTGTCTTCTACACAATAATTATTTTAGAACTGAACGCCCTAAGGCATTCCTCTTCCAAAATATATTTAATATCATAACTCACCCTCGAAACACCTCTCGTTAACACACCACAGAATATATTTCTGATTGTCAAATTGTATAACTTCCAGGAAATTCGAACTCTTCCTTGGCTTTTAAACAGGGCTTTCCGAAAAATTTATTTTTCCACGCCAAAGATGAAGAATTCCACAGAATTTCGAGAAATGAAAAGCGAGGTGGGTATTTCTGAAACTTGCAGCAAGCTTCGAGTGTCGTAAAACGGTAATATTTTGCGCGCGTTTACCGGCTCGAAGAAAGATCCGCGGTGTTTTTCGCATGGATATCGCGAACTTCCTTCGTGTCCCATAAAGAACCGCGGTCTCGAGGGGGTTGCTTTTCACCACCACTGCAAAAAGGGTTGGCCGAAAAATACAATTATTATTCTCCATAACCCTTTTCCCACACAAAATATTTCATGAAAAAAAAAAGTAATTATTCTTCAGCCTAAAACAACAGTTTCGTTGTTTAAATTCATTTAATACACCGCGATCACAGTGATTTTTCACCAGAAAGCAATCACTCCCCCCTAGATTCGCGATAAGAGGTCAGACTTGAACGTTCTACGAAGGGGAACGAGAGCGGACGGGTAGAAAGGAATGGAGCAAATAACTTTTCCTTTTTAACCGCGAGTTCTGCCAGGCCGTAGAATCAACATGATTAATTAGAGAGACTCGTTTCACCCTTTTTTAGCAGGGAGCGCGCAACAAGTGTCGCGGCGAGTTTCATCGGCCTGTTTTTCCCATCGGATGAAAATGCACTCTGATCCGCCGCGAAATTCCATTCCAGCAAACACGAGAGATGGAAGATACGACCGGTGTCCGAGAAGGTTCGAGTGGGCGCGGTTTAATCGGTCTGGACTCTTACCGGAAACTTGGCCGAACTACTGTCTCCTCGATGGAACGATCTAATTCGTCAAGCCAGCTTTGTTGTTCACTCTTTGGTTAGTACTGGTGACCAAATACTTTTCTTCTTTCTACCATCTGTTCTTTCTTTGAATGGAAAGTGCGTAAAAGTATTAGCAGATTTTATAGTGTTGCATACTGATAAAGGATGAACAATATAAATATAGTGATATCGAAGTATTGTACTTGAAAGTTTGAAGTTTGAAGTTTTCAGGGGACAATTGGAGAATTTACTGAATTATTTTGGAAAATTGAATGCCAGGGTACGTGCCTTTAATCTTTTGGTGATATCGAGATACCGTGATTAGAATCTATTCCTTTATAATGAAACTTCTGGGTTATTTGTGAGAGGAAACTGGGGGAAGCTGTTATTCTAGATTTCAGATGAAAGATATGTACAAGAAAAGATTGATAAATTTTATAAAGTAATTTAAAAAGGCAGAATTATAGACGGAAACTTCTTTTTCCTCGTGAGAAGTTTATTGTGTTAATAATAAACTGGGAAATATGTCAAACCTGATAGAAATTTTGTCTTCTATTGCATTTCACATAATTCTTTATGCTATAAATGCATAAAATCCCCAGTTTAATAACAACTAATAATACTAGTTCAGTAATTAAAATAAAGTTATTGAAAGAAAATGGAAGAGAAAGAGAGTAAAAGTGGGGAAAGGGTGTAAAGTATGTAAATAAAATTGTGTAACGACCGAGATCGAGTGAAATGTAATAAGATGCTGTTCGACATGATTCTGAATTGGATTGTAATTTGTTCAAAGCAGTCGTGATGATGTGTTTTCTCTTCGACCAGGTCGCAAGTGGACGTCTCACCCCTTTAAAGGTGCGAACCAGCTGCGATAAAGGTTTCTGGACCATTGAGATCACGTTGAGTACAGTCAGCAAATAAAAAGCACACGTTCTGCGGAAGATTTTCCTCCTTTCGCCGTTTGTTTTTTATGTCGTGGTCTTTTACGAGCAACGCACTCGGCGAATTCCCGATCGGGACCGTTCGAGACCCATTAAAAATCGAACGTCATGAAAATGAATCCTGTGTAAATTTCATTTCGTTATTTACCCTTTAAATGTATTACACTTGTAGCACATTATTCGCGATTTCTCTAACAAATTGTGTCATATTTCTTTTATTACATTTAATACATTTAATATATCACTGATAAGAATTGCACAGTTGTCTTCAGTTTCACGTAATATTTGCACGATTTTTATATGTATAATAAACTTTTGAGTATCCTATCCTCCGAATACTCTTGTTATTCATTGTATCTAGAACGTTTCTCCCATAAAATGGACAATTCCCGGAAAATAGGGCACGACGATGTAAGGGAAAAATAAAAAATGATAATGTACACGGTTAATATCGCTTCACAGTGTCGAAAGTAGTATTGTTCCGGGTTCACACGTTCGTTCCTCCGTGTAGTAAATCGTTTTTCAGGCAGCTTAACTCTACATCGTGATTAAACGTTGCCATGCAAGTTGCAATAATTGCGGGCTCTCGTGAAAAATTCAACGACGAGTTGTATTTTCCACCTTGACGTGGGTTCAAGAGAACGCGTTGCTTTCTCTTACTTTAACGCAGACCTGATCCGTCGGAGGGATACTTCTGCGAAGAGATCTCGAGAACCAGTCACGAAGAAATTAAAATACCTCACAATAAACTGTACCAACAAGGAACGCGATCGAGAGTTCGTACAATCTTCTTCTTAAGGGTGTTGACGACGAAATTCTTTTAATTCTACAACTTGTTAATTAAAACACGATCCTCTCTGAAACTTTTGTAACCAAATAAGAAACTGAATACATACACTTGACATGCACAATGGTTTCCACAAACTTTCATTAATATCCTACTAGGTCTCTGTAAAAATAATTTCTTTATAACTGTAGGGTGAATGTTCCAGTAAATGAACACGTATCGGTGAATGAAAATTATATATAAAAAGGAATAAATTAAGTTATTAGATTAAGCAAATGATTAAATATTTATTTTTTTGTCAATTCCTTGTTTCATATTCAAACAGTTTTCGCACCACTGGTAGAAATCAATATGTGTCTTTTTAAATTATTTACTTACATTTTTACAATGTTTCAAATTGAAATCTATACATCATAAAATCTTAAAAAATCTAATTTTCATGTACCAAATATTTACTAATATTATTATCATTTAAAATTCGTCTTTAATCGTTACAAAATCTCATAAATCTTTCTTCATTGGTGCTTTTAGTCTACTTATTTTCCAAGTTTATAATTATAATCACAGACAGAAATTACCAGCCACATGAAAACGCGACGTGTAACCAAGAGAGGGATAACTGACGTGATGTTTAGAAGTGCATCCATCCCCTCCGAATAAATCCAAGATCGATCGATCGGAAACGACGTCAGGGGCCGTACTGGGGCATCCAGGCCGCAGTTGTCCGTCGAACACCATTGCTTAATTTCGTCGGGGGCGGCGTAAGAGACAGAAAGAAAATCATCCAGAGTCAACGAGGAGAGGGCACGACGAGCTGTTGCGCGATTGGTCACCGTTAGGGGTGTCTGAATACCTCGTGGGTGGTTGGGAGCGACTATATAAAGCGTTTCGCGGATCATGGTACATCGCAGTTGCTCTTACGTGTTGCTTCACCGTCGGTTCCGGGACATTTTTCGTCGTTTTTTTTTGTCAACCGCTTTCCCTCGTGCAAACTTTTGCCCTAGAAATATCAACCCTTCGTCTCTGGTGGAATCTACGAGAATCGTACTTGCACTTCTGGTTTCCATTTCTAAAATACAAATTCTCGGTAGAAATTACGACGTCAGAGGGTGGAAAATGCTTCGACTAGTTCGTCGAAGTTTCATGTGACCGTGAAAGTACGAAAATGACGGGATAATTTAACGTGACACAGGTAAAGGGTGGAGGAACTTGGAAGATGTTTGAAAGAAATCGAAATCGCGCGTGATTCAATGAACGATTGGATGTTTCATTTCGTTGCAGTCAGACCGAGAGGAAACGAGACACAGGGGAGACGTAGATTACAATCGGGGAGGATCATTTAAACGCGAGAGAATTGATAATAATCGGTTTGTCGGTGGAAAGGAACTTGCTCGGAACACTAGGCGAGTTTTGCCCATACTTCAGGATCGAGACAGTTTGATTTTCATTTTGGTGGTAAATATGGAAAAAGAATTGATAAGTGTTATTGTAGAATCGACACGATGTGAATATGTAGGCTGTTTACTGTACAATATGGTCTTAGAAGTGAATATTTAGGGGAGCTTCTGAAGTAATGAATTCACTTTTTCAGTACAGCTTATAAAATAGATATCCTTCAAAGACACACGAATATAACATCGATAAATTTCTGTCAGAATTAAAATTCACACTGTTCGCAAGTTAATTCGACTAGATTGGATAATGACTAATTGTAACCGGAAATTGTACAGATTCAAGGACATATCCAAAAATGATGTTAGTAGTGAAGATTTTTTAATAAATTCATTCCGTCCCTTTATTTTCGACCATTGAAATAAGAATATGCAAAACAGACGACTGTACTTCCCTTTCTTAGTTTCTATTACTCTAAATCAGAGGAATGGACCTACAAGAACGTGAAATATTTTTTAAGAATACTGACATTATAAATCCGGCGTATTTATCAAAATTCAGAGATGAATCCTAAAATAATGCAACATTTAATACGATCTTCTTGCCGCAATTTTTATGCAGATTGTATATGATTTTTGGGGTTGCAAAAATGATAGACAGGCGGAGATGAAGTATCTGAGCGTTGTTTCTGCTGGCAGGAGGATGCTCCCACGAAGCAAAAGGGTTCAGTCGGTGCCGTGCCTCGGAAGCGTTGAGTTCGTGACGTGTTTGTGGATCGCGTGTGCCGTTTTAACCCTGCTCGCCTCCGCGGAGGGTTTCCACATCCGCACCCGTTACGGGAAACGGCATGAGCCACGTGGCGGTAAGTCACGAGACCTCCCCAATTTACGACTCTTCTGCTCCTCTTGATTACCGGTAATTAACGAATCTTGAACTGCTTTCTTTTTTTTCTTCCTAATTAAACTGGTGCATCATAAACCATCAGCTCCCCCTCCCCCGTTGCGTGTGCTTTCGCAATTCTGTCGATTGACGGTGCCATTTCGTAATAATAAATAATGATAAATATCCCGATACCATTCGTGTTTCCAGTAACAATTATTCTTTTCGTTCTCCAACATCTTGTCGTATATGTTCTTTCCACGTACTGCTAAGTAATTTATAGACCGCGGATTTTATGCACGCATAGCCTGTACAGCTCTGTGGAATGCAATAAAAGACAAAACTTTCATTAGATCCAAGGATTTTTTTTTTAATTTTATTCTAAAGCGAATAAGATACTTTAAAGAAGAAATAAATTCCCAGATTTGCTCTAGTTTTTGTGAATTACTTTAGGAAATGTCATTCACAGTTGGGCAAAATGTGATCCAATTACAAAATCCAAATCACATTTACGATATAATTGCAAGATAATTACTCTTTCAATTACATTGTAATTAACTGTACTAAATTTACAATAAAAATTACAATGTAATTATAATTTTAATTGTCCCGCAATTAGATTGAAATTGCAATTTAGATTTTATAATTAGATTACATTTTGCCCAACTCTGGTGTCATTTTGCATAAAAATCCGCAGTCTAGTAATTTAATACGGTTCCAGCATTATTATGCTGTAATACGAATATTAATGTATATTTAGGATCTTCTGGTTCAGTGAAACGTGCGTAGGATGTCGGTGACGAAGTACAGAATCACATAATCCACCATTCTTCGCCGGATTCCAGTGTCTAGTAATTTACTTTCGACCCTTTGCGCGACTCGTTCTCTAATCAGAAACACTGCGGTCGTTTCGCGGACCAGGAGAGCCACATGTCCTCTCCAATTAGACAGTTTCCGGTTCTTGGTTATACGATCTTTCCCGCGAACAGGATCCAAATGGAACGAATGCGATCGGTCCTTTTTGCTAAACTCGGTCGTCCATTGTCAACGCTCTATAATTGATCTCTCGCGTTTCTTTGCCCCTTTAACGTTTCCAATTAAAGAAAATTTCCCTCGATCGAACAGCCTTCTTCGTTCTTGCGTGCGTTGAAAATTGGTAATTGACGTTGCTTCACCGATGGCGCCCTTTGAGCTACGATTTTATCAGGTTAATTGGTTGCATGTTCTCGAGGATCGTTGCTAAAGGGCTCGTTTGAACATTTTGCAAATCGAGCCTGCTATGTTAATTGACAGGTTGCTAGTTCTTTGAATTCTAAATACAGTGGATTCCGGTTATTTGGGATATATCGGGACTAGCATCCTTCGGATCGATTAAACTGTTGTCCCAATTATGCGAAGCATCATAGTACATTTGGTTAGACTTTGTTCTTCGATCTATGTCACAAATAAATAACTACTTCGATTAACTTAAGTAAACCCACATAAGCGGAATCCACTGTACTAGAATTCCAAATACAGTAAATCCTCTGTAAATGTTCTAAAGTTTCTTCGAAGACTCTGTTTTTTGACAGGAATGTCAGAACTAACTTTCGAAATTGGACATTGGAGTTTACTATATTATAGTGTACTACTGAAGATATTTAGATGATTTTATTTTGATTCATAGGTTCCCTCATCTGGTCCAGGTACGGACGCAGCGACGATTCGCAAAAAATCAGCAATTCGTTGCCGAAACTGGTGGTGGTGCCAAGGATGGATCGATTCTTTTTGGGTAGTCGGTACGGGAAACGATCCTCCTCGGAGTACCGAACCGTGCCGTCTGTGAATCGATTCAGCGCTGTCTTGGATTTCATGGATCACGTCAACCATGCCGAGCCTGATCGGGAGAACGACAACGCGAGCAATGGGAGTGATCCTGAGTTTCTGTCGTAAGACTATCATTTCACCAGTAAGTACTCGGTAATTAATGGTACCAAGTCGTTATTAACTAGTTAAACGAGGACCTATTAACTATTTTCCTTCTCTTGTTATTCTTTAATATACTTGCGATATGATGTAAAATTGTGCAATTGTAATTACAGGATAATTTTTCTGCAATAATTAAATTCGTTTACACTAAGTTAAAATAGGCGAATAATTATTATTCTTTATTGATCTTCCATAATTAAAGGACAATCCAAATAAAAGGAAGGAATTACTCAATTCTTTTTCACTCATTTAAAGGTTGGTTAAGAACTAATTTCAACTAATCAATTTCTATCGATAAATAGAAAATATTGGAGAAGATTAAAAACAGTTTTCGGTTTCGCTTAAGATCCGACGCCTGTTCCGGCGTTGAAGTCACTCCTATTCTAGAAAATGTAATTCTAGACGGACAGCGTTTATTGAATTATTAGTTCTTTAATCACACTTGGAACACTTCAAGGAGTGTAACAAATTATCCCTGTAATTTACTGCACTTAATCAAGAATTTTATGGTCATTTAACATTCTGCTTAATTCTATCCTGTTTCAAATATCAATGAAATTTCCGTAATTATTCGATAACTCTAGAAAAGGGTAGCTTCTTGCCACCCCTTCACAAAAGTTACAGCCACAAAAAGACAATCCCTCGAGAGACAACGTTTTCCCGAGCAGTGTGCCGGTTCCGAAGTTTCTTTGTCTTTCTTTTGCAGACATCTACGAGGACTTGTTAACTATTTTCCAACGAAACGAACCGAGAGGAGGTGAGTGATCGGGGCTGGTTCCATCGATCCGACGGGTTCGTTTCGATTCTTCGTAACAATTGATCGTTTCTAATAGAGTCGAAATTATAACGGTATTAACAAACGAAATCGATTGATCGCGTGGAGGAGGAACATAAGCTTAATTTGTCGTATTTTAAAATATTACGATCTACTTTTTTAGCATTTTACCTGATTCTCTCACTCCTGTCAATTACCTTTTTTCATCTCCAAAACAATGAACCGCTTTTTTCACAATTTTCAACCTTTTATATTTGAACAAAAACTGTTCTTTCTGCTTTGGCGTATTGTTTCGTCTATTACATTTAATGGAAGTTATCTGAAAAGGTATTAAGGGACGCGTAGTATTGGCGTAACCGCCAGTTTCCCATTTTCGTGTTCAGTGTCTGTTATTTTGTTTGAAATATAGGAAATGTTTCCGTAGCAATTTACTTTGAATGACACTTTCGAGGACGGGTAGATAGTCTCGTGAGAATAATTTTCTTCTTTTTCATGCTCCTCGAACACAGAGTAGTTATTTTTTCAGAAGTTTCGCTGCCTTGCCAGTAGAACAGGTCAGTATTAGGTCGGCCCACCGGGAAATTCTTCTTCCCCCCAACTTCCTACTTTACCCGAGCTGTCGCCCTATCTTGTTCCCATCATTTACCTCCATTTCTTTAATATTCAACACAATTTAACAATTTTGTCACAATGTTTCCCTTGAATATTTCAGTCCAATAAAATGTTTCATTACACTTTCGAACTTTCTTGCATTTTACGTTCCTTCCTCTATCATTTACTATTCGTTCACAATTACCCAACAATCGAGTTCAACTTTTACCAAAATCCTTTCAACGGAAATACCGATTAATTCCTTGATAATTTCCCTTTTTTGCTCGTGCACTAGAATTTCCATTCATTTTCCATCCCATTTCTTCGTTACGTGTCCATTTTTCTTTAACAACCCACGGCCAAAAGAGCGCAACAAGTTACCACGCGATCGAACATCCAGGCCGTTCAGTTTCGTTTATTTCATTCGACCATTAGTATTTTTTAGTTTGGAAACAACGCAGCGTTCTTTTTCTTTTTTACGTTTTTTCGTTCGCCCCGAAATTGCCGGAACTATAACAATAAACGTTTAATTTCTCGGCGAAACGGTCGTACTCGAACGATTCTGGAACGGCACACGGTCTGTTCGCGACAATTAAACGGCACGGGAAACGCGGGTACACGATCGTTTATGACTTCGAGATCGCGGAATTTCGGTTGAAAAAATTCACGTGATCGTTCCTCCTCTTCGTCACGATCGTCCTTTTGCTATTGTTCCTCAAGTCAACCAGCGTTATCAACTATCTTCGAGTCGAGTAATATGTCCACGTGAATGTATGCTAAATAAACGATGAATTTATTCCTTAAAACGACTCCCTTCTTTTACCCTCGTTCACGATTAAATGTATAATCAATAGACTGCGGATTTTATGCATTTATAGGATTATAGGGATTTTCTGTCTGCTTTGATTATTGAATTCTTATTACGGATTGTTTAACTATTCTACGTAAATAAATAATATAGTATCAAAGGAATGGTCGCGAATATGTTTCCAAAACAAGAGTTGGTTATATCTAGTTTAACAAAAAAAAAAACCGATACCAATAATCATCTATACTTGGTAATTACAGGTATTTAAAATGATATTTTGCCTTTCAACATATTAAAGTTTGAAGAAAATCGGAGATACCCACCGAATTGTACATTATTACCCTCATTTCATGTACAATCTAATACAATAATATCGGAATTTTTTCAACGAATCAGCAGCCTGTGTTCTCGTAAGGAAGATCCAAAGGAAAAGCGAGTCGGTTTCAAACGTGGTTTTACGGGACGATTTAAATTCGCGTTGTGATATCGATTACGAGGCGTGCAGCTGCGTCGTGTGTCGAATGCCGATAGGCCAATTAGAAACATCGAACGCGTTCCATTCACTTTCGCCGATGAAAACGAAGGAGAGCCAAGCCGGCCAGACGGCTTTCCGTCGAAAGCAACGAAAGTAAGATGACGAACGTGGAGCGACGAGGAGAAGGAGGGCTTCTCCTTTCCACCTTCTCTCTTTGCAGAATGAAGATGCAGTCTAGTGTTGGAACGGGGTTCCACCAGGGTAATCGAACGGGCATACCGAACCGGTGCAATTAATCGACAGCGGGCCACTGGATTTATCCGAGGGACAATACCGTGATATCGATTAGAAAGTTGGAGAACACGTCGACGGACGCTGTCGCGCTTAAAGTGGCTCCTGCAAGTTTTTAATAATTATAAATTTAGTTGAAAATTTAACAGAAGATTCTTGAAACCTTCAACTTTCGATTGCTACCAAAAAATCGCAAGGTCAATTTCCAAATGTCTTATTATACTTGGAGAAATCATGGATTTAAGGGTAAAGGAAATTATATTAGATGGATGAGTAAATTGTTGGTTTGCTGTGTGATTGATTGCAGATTTTATGCATACTCAGATGTCTAGAATTCTGTATAGTAAAAAGTTAAATGAAGTTGAGTGAGATTTTTGTTTTATTTAGAACCTAAAAGAAGCTTTAAGAGAGTACAGACACTTTTAAGTGATTCCTGTGTCTGTAAATTAATCCAGAATTGTCGATATTTGCATAAATATTCGCAGTCCAGTTATAAGAAGAAGAAAATTGTATAGTCATTTTTAAGATATTATAACAATAGTGACATTAGATAATCGTTATTTTCAATATGCAAAAAACCATCGTTAGAGTAATTATAAAAATACAGTTTTCAAGCTCGACGAACTTCTGTTAGATAATACGTTAGAGATTGTCATAGTCACCTGGAATGTATATTCGACGCAAAACTAGAATCGAACTGTTTAATCAACGATTTCGTCAACTTTCGCTGGCGAGCGTTATGTTTAGTCATGTGTTTCGCATGTTCCTTCGATAGCCTCTTCTCTCCAGACTCTTATATCATAATTCGTGGAAATTTCACTCTAACATACGGATTATATAACTCCCTGGAATCTTCCGGTCACGTTGAGATTCGACTACGAACGCCCCCCTACTTTGTAACATAATTTCTCTTAGAATAAATTACTTCGAACATTTCACGATCGTACAATACGTAACTCGAGTTTACATCGTACAGTGGATCAAGTAAACAATCGTTCCAAGTATGAATTTCAAAATTCCATTAAAGAACGTACCATATAATATATACCATAACGCGCCAGGACAATAATCGTATAGGGAGAAATGCTTCAAACATTTCCTATTATTTTTGACATTTTTCACGCCCCCTCTCCAGTGGTAGACATAACGTCTGGACAATAATCGTGTAGACCAAACCAGACGATAATCGAGAGGAGTCAGTAATTTAATTCCGAGCTCGATCTTAAAATGATCGTGATAAAGATAAATTAGAAGCAAAGAGGCTGCGGTTCGCGGTTCGTGCGGCAAGGTCTTCAAAAGATCGCTTAATCCTATTTGGGACCTACTTTTGAATCGGCCCAGAGGAGAAAGTAAGAGCGGAGTGACGGCGGTCGCGTGCTTGAGAAAGTAAAGTCTCGTTCACACGTAAGAGGGACCGAGCGTTTTTACAGACACTCACACATTACGCCCGGAATAGGTTCGCGATTACCACATTTTAATTTTCTTCGGGATTTCTGGGTCAAGGAAGGAGCCCATTATGTGTGTTTTTTTCTTCTTCTTTCAGCCTCGAAAGCGGACTAAGAGCACAACGATCCGTCGGAGGACTTCCCGTGTTCAGAATGATATTAACACGAGAGATGCTCGAAATGTAATTAGTTCGAACGGTTAATTATCACGGGACCGTGGGTCTATGTGATAAATTGCCAGGCCATTGTATGCTGAATTGTTCTGTAAAACAGGAGAAAAACAAATAGAAATGTGTTGGAAGAAATTTTTTCTTTATTCAATTTTCCCATCCTGGAATTAGTTTAGACGAAGGAAGGACCTGAAAAATGAATACTTTAACCCGGTTACAGGCTATCGAATCACTTTTTGGTAATCGACGTTAATTAAGGCTCGCCGTCCAGCAATTCATTCCGCGTGCGTTGATGCAAATCGATAATAATAATAGTATTACTGTAACAACACACTCGTCCATCCGTGACATCATCTCCGGGATGGCACGTGATGTCGCGATTTGTTTTCACTTTTTCCCGTGATGTCAC